CCCGTCGATTTTGGAGAGATCCTGATTTTGACCGATTTTGCTCGATTTTGGCCGATTTTGGCCGATTTTGCCCGATTTTGCCCGATTCTGGCCGGATTTCGCCAATTTTCTCCAAAATCGGCGGGAAAAAATCGGAAAAAATCAGAAAAATCAAGAAAACATGTAAAAAAAATCAGAAAAAATTGAAACCGTAGCCAGGACCTTGTACAATATTATTGCAAATCCACCGTCAGTGTCTCTTTTCTTTTAGGCGTGCGCTAGCCGAGGTGCTTCAAGCTGTGCATTTATTCCCCGCACGGTGTGCATTTTTTACCCTCAGGGGTGTGCATTTATTAGACGTTTCATTCAAACGCTTCTAGTAAAAAGACGACTTACAACTTGAAAATTCCGATTATACCATTAGATTCGGGGGACTTTCAGCTATAACTTGCACATAGAGTTCGTCGCGAAGAAAGACTTTTAATAAGCTTTTGGTAGAACTTTTTACCTCGCGGTGGGAAAGTTTTGAGAGCTAGATTTTGAGGTCTAACTTACAGGTTATTTTGAACATGACAGGCATTTTCTACTTAAAAACGAATTATTCCTTTGGATAGAAGAAACTATGACGTTTCATTTGGTATATAGATGTTGCCGTCAAACTAGAGGGAAATATTTTAAAATCCAGTGTGCATTTATTACCCACTTGTGAGGTGTGCATTTATTACCCGACCTGACCCTAATCCTAGATTATGTAGTCAGTTGGTATCACGGTTTGGATATATTTAAATTCAATTTACCTTAGCATTATTTAGTCTACTTTTCCTCCTTTTTAAAATTCATTGCTTTCATATGAATAGCCATCAATGCTTTGGCTTTACTGCTAATGATACTGCAGTATACGATGTTGGACTTTCTATAACTGAAATATGACCAAAGAATTGGTTTGTATTGGATTTTTTCAGTAGTTTACTGAGGAAAGCTCACTATCTAAAGAGAAGTTGATCTGAATATTTAATCAGAAAACATGTCCTAATTTTACTTTAAAATGTGAGGCGGATCCAAAATTTGTGTTAGTTTCACTTCAAACAACTTTTGAGACTTGAGTGTGACCTAAAGGATTTCAAGCTAGATCTGCTTTGTGCACTTTTGAACTAATTGCCTTCTCTTTAATTGTCAAAATTTCCCCCTTTAATAACTAAGTTTAGTTTCCAAACTTGACTTCTTGTTTACTTTATTTTTTAAAATGTATTTTCTATTACGCTACTTTGGATGGCTCTAAGCTTTTTAACTCTTACCCAGGCATTCCAATATTTTTTTTCAATTTTTTTTTTGTGTGTGTTCTGTGATTCCAAATTTGTTAAATTTTGCCAGTTAGTATTTATTAGTTTCATCTCTGGAAAGTATTGTGCACTAATCCAAAATCACTGAGATGCATGAACTGGGGAAGAAAGGCACTTCTGCACGCCTGAACCCTCTCCTTTTGTGCATCTGTATTGGCTATGTGACACATATGGGTGGTGGCATCAAGTTCAGTACATTAACAGTATTTTTGCTGCGACTCTGGCAGAATCCACTTAACGGCAGCAAAGCTCCCTCCGTTCAAGCACACTCCCTTGGCTCGCCTGGTGAGGCCCCACCGAACAATGCAATCAATCAGTTGGTACGTATCTGCTAGGTGCTCAAGATATCTCTTTTCTCTATATTTCTGATTCAGTTTTCCTCTCTGGCACAAATCAAGCTACTACTACACACTTAAAGTTAACTGCACCTGGTCGAAGTTTGTGAGAAGCTAAGGTGTGACTTGTGCGCATCACTTTTCATTGTGCTCTGAGTTTCCTTCTCACTAGTGTTCCACCACCATTTACTAGGCTTAAGAACTTTAAGATATAAGCAAGTGTACTTTCTCAAGTTGTCATTCTGTTCAGCCACTAAGTATGCCTCATCATGGCTGCCTCTTCTGTTGCAGTAGTTTGATGGGGGAGAAACTACACTAGTCTTAGCTAATTCTTTAATGAGGAATTTACAAACAGGATGAGCACTGAGCGGTCAGAAAAATTTCTATGTTGTGGAATTGTACTGATATTAGACGCCTTAGTTGTATGAAAGAGAAACCTAAAACCTACCCTCATGGTTCAAGTTTCTATTTCAGTGACAATATTTTTACTTTTTCCCTCTGTATTATTATTACAGTGGTTATTATTGGTCTGAAAGACAAGTTTACTAAACTTCATAATTTTTTATTTTTTTAAACTAACAAGTATACTAGGCGACGAGTGCTGTTTGGGCCTGTTTCTTGGAGGAGATGCCGGGGCTGTCCAACATCTATCCAGGTAAAGATCTGCCTGTTAATTTGGGGTTTAGCTTCTTTTGTTGAGCAATTTTTTAATTTACCAAGAGGTTTTTATTGTTCACCATGGGAAAAAAAGTTTTGCATTCCTAAAAGTATGGTATCTAAGGTCATATTTTTTAATATCTATATGTCTCATAACTTACATAGGAAAAAAAATAATGCAAACTTTTAAAATATATTTTTATCTATCTCCATCAATTTGATTTTTTTCCTGAAAGTACCAAAATTTGATGAAATAAAAACTTGAACCTTTTAATGTTTGAGTGTAGAGGCATCATTATAATACATTACATGTGTCTATATAATCCCTGATAATTTATTGGACTTGTTGAGTTTAAAATACTGAAGTTAACTATTTGGTGTTTTGTTCAGAATGTCTTGAGAAGTTACTTCTTATGAAGTTTAGGGATTTTTTTCTTTGGCAATGTTCCTTGATATGAATTATCCAAATATTAACATAGTCTGTTGAAATACTATCAGTGGTGCGACCACATCCCGTCGAAGTCTTAATTAGTACGAGACTGGAATCAGCATTCGGTGTGAACCAATCCTGGAGCTGTGTTGTTTGCTTGGAACCACCCTTAACCACTGGTGGTGGTGAGTATAGAAGGTGGTGCCAGACTTCTGGCTCAAATCACAAGTAAGTGGTTCCCTTAATGGACTAATTGTCTGGTCCTCATAAGTCAACATAGAGTTTAGCCTCATAAATGTTAACATCCATACCTACATCACACACCACTCACAACTCACATGAACAGATCAAGAAATTTTTCTGGCATGTTCACTGACTTGCTCATAGTTTGAGAAGCTAGATCTGCAGGTACTCTGCCTATTTTTTTTCCATATAAAGAAGACTTTTGTGTCCATTTCTTGATAGTTTCTTCTTTAGTGATTATTTTACTAATAGTGTGTGCCAATCTTGATCAACCACATACCTATGGATTATTGAAAGTGGTCGTTTGGTGTACAAGTGTACTGTGGTAGTATGTGCAACATTATAGCGTAATTTTAGGTTGAGGATACATCATTTTGTATCGGATTTGCCCTTTTGGTTCATTGCATAATTTTGCTGGTAGGTTTTCATAGGCTTAGAAAGTTTTTGTATTTTTTTATCTAAAGCTCTTATTTTCAATAAATTTCCTTAAACTTGACACTTGAACTTCATTAAATTTTAAGTTATACAATAACATTTAAAGAAGGCAAATATCTCCCATCAAGTTGTTCCAATCTTTTTATTACAAGTACTTTTTCTGATTGGTTTGCTGCACCATATTTGTCTTATTAATTTTCATGCATGTGATTGGCATTTGGTGTTTTTAGACATATGTACATCCAAGAAGAGCCCTATTTGTCTTTAAGTGAAATCAAAATTACCCACTCTACCCTCTGTTTTGAAAGTTCTTTGTGTAAAATCCTTTGTGACATTTCTGATTTCAGGAATCTGGTTCAGAGTCAGTCAACAAAGATGATGACGGTCATAACTCACCTCACAAATCGCATCAGTCTAATTCATCCTACTCACCTGCATCTGCTGCTTCATCTAATGATAGTGAGACAGATGAAGAAGAAGAAGAGGGAGAAGGAGGCCGAAGAGGAGAAGAAGAAGAAGAAACCTCAAAACCTGAAGAGACCAAGCCTCAACTCAATCCTATTACAAGTGAAAAGGTTGAAGAAGATAAATGTGACACTGTGATAAAAAAGGATACTGATCAAAACAAGAGAGATTTAGACAGCAGACGTGATCGTGAAAAAGAAAGGGAGAGAGACCGTGACAAGGAAAAGGATAGAGATCGTTTAAGGGAGCGAGATAGGGATCGTGATAGAGGTAGGGACAGAGATGACAGGGAAAGAAGGAAAGATTACAGAAGAGATGACAGACATCGTTCACGTAGTCGTGATCGAAGAGACAGGCACAAAAGTCCTGTAAGGACTGATAAACGACGTGACGAACGTAAAAAGTCTAGAGAGAGGCGTTCTAACAGCAGAGAACATCGACGCAGAGATTCTGACCGCACTAGGTAAGATAGAGAGAAAACAATCTTAAATTGTATCAAATTCTGTTTTCCAAAACACCATTTTAAAAATATTTTCAACTTTTTCATCAGGTACCCGGACGGTAATCGCAAGGATTCTGATCGAAAGCGCCATCGATCACGGTCTCGTAGTGTGGACAGACACAGGCCAAGGAATGAATCTAGAAGCAGTAGTAGTGGTGGGAGTTCCAAGAGTGATGCTCGAAGGTAATTAATAATTAACCTCTTACTCAGTCTCCCAATAAATCTTAATCTTGGTTAGAAACACCTCTCACAATGATGATGATTTTCTTTCTAGGGACATAAAACAGTCTTCAGGCCCAGTCAGAGGAAGCCGCTCACGAAGTAAAAGCATTGAGAGAGACAGAGCTCGAACATCCGTTGCCGACTCAAGAAAATTCTTTTTGGATAAGAAGATTGATAGGAAAATGAATGGTACTATACATTCAACTCCCATCTAAATGTTGAAGTATCACTTCTATTTTCTTTACTTTATTTTTATACTATTGTTTTTATCGTTGTATTTACAGTCTTAGAACGGATGGGTATAGAGCTCAAAGCTGAAGCAAAGCCCTTAATTGGCACAGTCACACCACAAATGTTAGTTCAGCGAACCATGGAACAGGAAGTAGCTCAAGTAAGGCAGGCAACAGGTGTTGAATTACCTAGCTACTATAATGCAGCAGCTGTAAATCCTCAAAGACTTGTTGACCAAATCCAAAAGCGGAAATTGTTATGGGGAGGCCGTGTAAGTATTAAACTACCGAAACTGAATGTACTGTAGAAAATAATGTCTGGGAGAAGACAATCCTCTTACCTAAATATTATTTGTTGCAGAAAGACGAAGCCAGCAAAACTGTAGCCCAGCCACAAGCCAATAAATGGCAAGGCGCAACATTTGCTCAAGATCAAGATGGTAAACTTACAGCTAAATTCAATAGGTTAATGGGCATCAAGCAACCAGTTCAAGGTGAGTCTTTATTTTTTGAATGTTAACTTTGACATGGACTGGAAAGACAAGTGGCCTAATAATTCCTTCAAATTTAGCTGCACCAAATCCCACTGCCAAAGAAGGAGGTAGTGAAATAATCAAGAAGCAAGAAGAAATGTTTCACAATATGGAGAGCCAGTATGAGGTAGCAAGACTAGCTACTCACACACATCGAGGATTAGGACTTGGCTTTGGCACTTTTCAACCTCGCTGAGAGCTCATTTTATAAAGATGCGGTGGTAAATTTAAATGTGTAAAATGTGTACCAATAATTTGTTATGATAATCTTTAATTATGTATATATTGTTAATTTGTTCATTCCTAATTAAGGTAGAAATTAAATCATTGAAAATTGTCAGAATATTATTTATTTTTAATTTCTAATATCACAGTCAATTATCTTGTTTGCCGTTAGTGTGCACAGAGGTCAGCATCCTGAAACATTGTAACACATAATTTAACAACTATGGGGTGATGTATTTCCAATTTTCCAGTATTATTAATCTCCATGATTGCCTATCAATCTGATAAGACAAAACATAATATACATAATAGCTGTTGCAAATCTTTTGAGTCTGTAGAAACTTTGACTAGATCCAAAGAACTTGCATCTGAAGTAAAAGTCACCTTTAATGTGCCCCAACTTTACAACTGAAACGCCCATGAACTGGGAGCACAGTGAACAAATCGGGAAATAATATGAAAAGCACCCATACAACGCTCAATCCCACGAGAGAAAGTTAGCTACTATAACATATAGAAATGAAAGGTTAAGAAATGTACTCATAGGTTTGTAGTGATTCTTATTAGATCCAATTGACTTGCATCTATACTAAAATTCACCCATAATTTATCCCAATTTTACAACTGTGACTTTCATCAGCTGAGAGCACAGTGAACAAATTGGGAAATTACTGATGTTGATCACTTACAAAATTCAGGCTGAGAAAGAAAGTTTTTAAACTTTCCCTGAAGTGTCTCTCTTCTCAATTGAACGTAATTGCTTTTTCTTCAACCTCTTCAGTTTGGAAGTGTTCTTAATCTGTAAAATCAACAAAAAAATCATGACAAATCCGATTTGTTAAGGGGTTGTAAATTTCAGATGGAAAGAAACACATACCACTGTGACTATTTCAGACTTTCTTGCATTCTCCTCACGTCGCTTCAGGTTCTCCTGCCGTCTTTCCCTTGTTTCCTGCTTGACACGACTCCGTTCTTCTTTGAGGGTTCTTGAGAGTTGTTTAGCATGTTTTAATTCATGGCGAAGTTTTTCTTTCTGGTCCCAAGTGATGCGTTTCAAACCTCTGGTGGCAACAACGGAAGAAAACCTGAAATAGATTCACACAGGAATTAATATCAAAAACATGGATACATCTTAGCAACAAGCTGTAAGAAGGTATTGACATGTGGGAATGATCCGCATTAGCACATCACTTAACCTTCGTAAATTACTTTTCCCCAAGCGTATAACCGCACAATGCATGGAAAGCAAAGGCAGCAAAAAAATTGGGGATTCTGGACTAGAACATTACAATAATAATTCAAATAGATGTATGAAATTGTTGACATGTGGGAATAGTAATTCACACATCACTTAAATTTCAAAATTCCTCTCCCCCAAGCGTATAACCACACAATGCAAGAGCAGCACAGGTAGCAAAAAAATTGGGGGGTAAAGACTCGGTGACTATAAACAAAAAGAAACTTGCCTTTTCCTATCCTTCTTCCAAAACCTATTGCCCGGTCTCTTCCCACGAACTTCGCTGGTTTTCTGATGGGTTTCTTCGTCCGAGGAATCTGAATCCGAGTCTACCTTTTGCTGTTCCTTGAGTTCTGATTGACTGTCAGATAAGATACTTTGAATGCGAAGTGAAACTGCGTCCTTGTCCGTTTTTTGAGTCATTTTAAACAAGTCCTCAAGAAATACCGAGTTAAATAGGTTCACAAAGGCACAAGTGCACGTGGTGGAGGTGGAGATTGGCAGGCGGATGCAGCGGTGAGAGAGAGGAAAGAAGAAAGAAAGGAAAGTCGGAAATAGAAATAACTTTTCTGAAAAATGTTGTGCGAATAGGTTTCTGTCAATAAGGTATAGGGTCGTCATTTGTTTTGTTTTCTGCTTCTGCCTTCTGCTAGCCATTTTGAGTGCCTAATCGGGCCAAACAAACTGAAACTAGTTTGAGCTTGAAGATTTGAGGGCACAGGAGCAGTAGTGAAATTTAAGAATGATGTAGATTTTTCGTTCGTAATCGAGAGACAGTATATCAAGGTTAAAGCGTATGTCAGCATCTCGGTGCTTTCCTTGCAGGTTTGTTCTTGGGCTATCATTAGTAGAGTGCCTATTTATAGCTTCCTTCCTTGTAGTATTAATGTGGCAACAAACGAGAACGTTTATTCCCTAGGATGCCTTGGTGCAACATGAACGTCGGCCTACGAGATGTACACTTTAAGAATCAGGATATACCTCAGCTTAGATCTGAGCTGCTATTAAGTGGAGAGCTGTTTGAAGATCCTTGTTTTCCTGCAGACCAATCTTCATTGGGCGATGTTGTGGTTGAAAATGTTGTGTGGAAAAGACCAAAAGTAAACATCTATTTCAACCTTTTACTTTCGTATATTGAACATCTACCCTTTGTGTAATGCTTTTTTTCTATGTTCATTTAGGATCTTTGTACCACTCCTCAACTTTTTTCATCTGCACCAACTCAGTCCGGGGTGAAATCTGGGAGCATGAGTAGTCCATGGGTTGTGTCAGCTATATCTGTTCTTGGTGGGATGCGTGAGCTGTTTTACATGGTAAAATAAATTTTGTAACTTAACTGACGATTATCTTCAAAGTAAATTATATTTATCAAATTACCACTCTTTAGGTAATGCCAGACTCACACATGCAAGAATGGAGAGACGATCCGTCCTATGAATATCTTGGGCTATTTTACTTTTGTTTTTGGCACTTTGGAACATGGACCTTTGTCACCATTGACGATAGACTTCCAACAATTGATGGTGAATTGATATTTACCCAATCCACTGACAAAGGGGAATTTTGGATTCCTCTCCTAGAAAAGGCCTATGCTAAGTGAGTGAAATAAAAACAAATAAAACTCAACCAACGTCTAAATTTGAACTGCAAGCAAAGAACTTTGTTGTTTTACGTCTCTTTTCTCTCATATTGTTTTAGATTACATGGTTCCTACCAGAAGCTAGAATATGGTCATGTAACAGATGCACTTGTTGATTTTACTGGAGGAGTTGCTGAAACCTATGACTTAAATATTAATGAAGACGATGTAAATGCACAGCTGAATCATTTAATGGAAACATTATCCCATGAGCTAAGCAGTCATTCCATTATCTGCCTGAAAATCAATGTAAGTTCTCACCAGCCTTCTGTTTTCTCTTTCATCAAACTGCTTGGGAAACAAGAGGAATGGAACTGTGATTGAGATTAATTTACCACAAAAGCCTTTTATTGTAAATTGAGGATCAGTTATGCTTTGCTGTTATCTAGATATTTTGCCTTAGGCTTGAACATGAAAAAATATAGGATGCCATTTAAGGCTGCCGTACCATGACAACCTAAGATAAATGCAAAAGCAAAATCATACCATGTACTTTCCCACTCAGCTCCACAGTACCACAAAATCACTGTAGCCAAATCTTCTAAGAAAACAAGGGCAAAGAAAAATACAAGAAAAATGCGAGGAAATGTATATCTTACCTTCACTTCTATAGGGCATAGAATAAAAATGAAACCCAATAGAATAGCCCAAAAATTTGGACATGGGTTACAGAAAAAAATGTATGCTGTCATGATTGTATAGTGACCGAGCAGTAAGCCAAGAGAAGGCCAAAAGTAGAAATGGGTAAAGGCTGCTATTACAAGAACTCGACCCAAGAGAAAGGCTGACCAAGCATGGAAAACTGTGAAAATGCCCAATGGCTCATCCTCATGTAGTCCTTTGATTCGTGTACTTGGCTTCCGTAGAGGGAGGGCTACTTGGGAAGTGTAGGCTGGCCTATTTTGACTTCTAATTGTATTAATTGAAAGTCTGGGTCTCATGTGGGGGTCTGCCGTTGGTGAAGAGGGTGGTGTGTTTATACGTGGCCAAAAACACAGTTCCTCCAGAGGTGCAGGTTCTATTGTAATCGGAACCAAATAGTGTGAAGTTGTGGCTTGTGGTGGGAAATCAAATGCTGGAGTCGGCAAAAGATCATCTGTTTCTTTCGGTTCTTGTTTGGTTTCTTCCTGGTATCGGTTTTGTTTATCATCATCTCTATATTCTGTGTTTGCTTCCTCTCCAGTTTCTAATTTTTGTTCAGATCTTTGATCCTTGTTTTCCTCTGGATTTGTTCCCTTATCTTCCACTCTTTTTTGGGTGGCGTCTGCAGATTCCAGATTTTCATGCATTTCTTCTTGTTGGTTTGTTTCTTGCTGGAAATTCACATCAGGTGTAGGATTTATAACAAGTGATAATTTTGGCCTGATTGATATTTGTTTTCCTTCTTCATTAGATTTTTCAATTCCCATGAGATGATATGGATCAATTTTTTTAATGCGGACTAAGGATTTTGTGTGACTTTCAGTTCTTTCGGTCTTCCATGGAACAGGACGCCCAACTACTTGCTGGCTTTCAAATCTCTGATATAATGCCACTGTTTTTGACACTGTGATAACAGATGTCACAATACTGATTGCTTGAGTCCAACCTGTTGAATCAGTTTTCACCATCTTACTAAGGAAGTGTAACAAAATTATATTACCGGTACCTTTTCTTCCTCATCGTTGAGAAAGGGCAGCCTTTCTCAAGCCTCATCTTACCAGTTTCATTTGTTGTGACAATCTGCGGACTGAGCAGAATGTAAGCTTGAAGTAGAGCTTGTGGAGCTGCATTAAGAAATGAGTCCAAAAAGAAAAATATTTCTGTGTGGTGACTAGCAGCAGCAATACTCAAAGCTTTTTCCCTTTGAGGATTTTCCTCTGTTAATGCTACTACAGACCAAAATAAGCGTGTCGCAAATCTGCAACAGGAAAAAGCTTACTAGGATTAATCTCAGAGCAATATAAATTCCATGATAAGGTTTGTGGATTGACTGATATTAAAGTTACCTGTGTATGATGCCCACAGGAAATAGGATACATTGCAGAAACTGAATGACTGTCCATATAATCCGATCACAAATTCTATCCAGTTTCGGATTGCTCATCAGAGTTAAGACCAAGCAGACAATTGAGGGGGTGTACACTAGCATTATAGTTCCTCCAGCTAGCAATGGATGTCCATCTCTGTTTTGCACCAGAATTTCAGCACCACCTAGATTTGTCGTATTTAACACCATAATTCAAAAAGATAGAAACCAACTTACCTCAAAAGTTGATATGCTACTGCAATATCTAATGCAAAACTTGACATGAAAATAATGGTAGATATGAAAGCTGGCACCATAAAACCTAGCCACATCTGTTGTGTATTTGTTAGTGGATGCCCAAAAACCTTCAATGGCTTTTTATTCAGTACTGAAGTCTCAATATCATTTTTTCCATTATTGTCTTCGTCCTCCTCTGGTTCCATTGTAAATATGGTCAGTTGTGAACTCTTCAAACTAGCTTTCAATTCCTGCCTCTACTAAACATAATTTACAGTACTTTTTCCTGCATTTTTTGTAACACAACTTTTGTTAATTTACAAACCTTTAAACAAAATTCACATTTGGTTCTTTAAGTTTAATACATTCCTTCTATGCAACCCTGTAGACTAGCAGGAATTCCTGTGGGTGTGGAGTCATAACAGAGAAGAATTACTCTTATCATATCTCTTTCCAACATTTCCTTCTTATCTTGGGGTTAGCAGGGGATAGCCAGGGCTAGTTTTAAGATAAAGGAGGTTGACAGGTTGTGTTGTGGTACAGGTGAAAAGTTTTTCCCTTTGTTATTAATTTTTATTTTGATCTCTTGTCTTGTGAAAACTATTCAGTTTTCCTGTGAAGTTGAAAATTAATATCAAATTAACACAACCATATTAACCTTCTCCCAACAACTAAAAAAAACAACAACAAACATTCTGTTTCAGCAACGACATGTGGATGAGGAGAGTGATAGAAATGAGCTTGGTCTGACTCGGGGTGCAGTGTACCAAGTAAATGGAGCCAAATTTATATCTTTGGGTGAATCTAAACTTCAAAGCATTTTCAGGTAAATAACTTTTTTGGCTTGTTGACTGGAGTTTATTTATTTTGGATCCCTTACCTTGAATCTTTTTGTGAATTCTTACTTTGCTGTTACTTGTTTTTCGATTATAGCAACAGAAACCGTATAGGAATGGTTCGCCTACGTGGCACACCTCCAGAACAACTGTTAGTACCTTATTGTAGCTTGACTTGAAACTAACTGAGACAACAAGTTCCTTCTAGAAATAAATTTGCATGCCTGATAAATTTGTGTTCTAGATTGGGTACAGCTAGTCCAGTGAGTCAGAAAAGCTCTGGCTCATCGTATGCATACTCTGCACCTATGCTAGCTCGCTTACTTTCCCGAAATCCTAAATGGGCGCAAGTAAAGGAGTCAGAGCAACAGCGTATGGGATTAACTTTTGACCACTTTGGTGAATTTTGGTAAGAGATGTGACTGAAAGTATCCGTCAGCATCTAATATGAGTTTATGACACTCTTCCACTCTTCATACCCTCTATTCTTCCAGGATGCCTTTAGATGACATGGTTGCATTCAATGAAGTTATGGTTGTACACTTCTACACAAAGAATGCATATGCTCTCCGAATGCGTTGGAGGGAAGACTCTGTACTAGGACACTGGACTTCTGGAGTAAAGGGTACATCCAGTGATCGTGCTGGAGGATGCCCAGAATTTCAGGAGACAGTTTTAAGGAATCCACAGGTAAAAAATTATTTAGAAGAAAAACAAAAGTTTTAATAAGGAGGGATTGAGCTCTGTTTAAAATAATATTTGTCTTTACCTCTTCTCTATCAATGACTTTCTTTTTAAAAATTTAAGTATGCCTTTGATGTACCGAAACACGAAGAGAATGTTGTCATCCAGCTTCTTCAATGGACAGGTGTAGATAAAACAAAATTGATTACTAACGAACAACTCCCCATTCTCATTGGATTTTGCATAATAAAGGTAGTTTTCCCTGAATTCCCTTACTGATTTTTTTTCTTCAGATATTTTTGGAAATTTCTTACAGTTTTTTAAATAATTAATTTTCTCAGGTTGAGGAAAATAGATGCTATCGCCTTACCCAACAGTGGGAGTTTAACCCTACTGTCGTCACAATTCAACCCTTAAGGAAACGTCAATTATATTACTGTGGTACATTGGCAAGAGGACGTTATATCATCATTCCATTCACATACAAGCCGGGAGAACTCGCTGGTTTTATGCTAAGAACTTTTGCTAAAGCAAACATTAGTTTGAGGTAAGCCTGCTTGCTGCTAAATAATAATGTAAATTGTGACTGTACAAAAACTTTGTTTACCAATTCATTAATTATTTCTCCAGAGAATTGAAACAAAGTGGACCAACACAACACTGGCCAAAATTTCTTTTCAAGTACCCATCCTTGACAACTGTGATTGTTGTTGGAAGCTTAAGTAATTTGGCATTTGGCAAAGGTAGGAGCAGTCTGGAACTGTGCTTTGCCTGTTTATTTTGTTACTCTGTATATTAGCCATTTTTTCTGTCTTTTTTGCTGTGCAGGCTCACACCTCTGGATTCAAGTGAAATGTGAGGGAAAGACTGCAAAAACTTCAAAATCAGAAGATTCCAGCCAGCTTAAATGGAATTCAGCCTTTGTATTTTACAGAGCTAATCCAGACAAAGCAATAAGTGTTCGGGTAAGTTCAGTATTAAAGTTTAAACACTATTCTAATTTGGAAGTTATGCCTTTACAAATTATTCCATTGCAGCTGTACTCTCGTAAGTGGCAATGCTTCCACTCTTTACTTGGTCAGGCTGAACTTCCTGCTGTTGTAAATCGATCACTCAGTCCTCTTGAAGTCACCTTAAGAGACAAGGCAGGTGAGCCTACTTCAACAATTTTAACCCTAAAAGTTCTGACCATTGACAGTATTCTGTGTGCCTAAAAGCTAATCGAAGCTAAAGGCACATACATCTCCACCTGGTGATGATTTCTTAGACTGGATGTAGAAAACATACAAAACTTTTATGAACAATTTATTTGTGTGTGTGTGTGATGTAAATTTCTAGTCAGATGGAGATCAGTGTTTGACTCATAGTGTACTTATTTAAAACTGTGAATTAGAAATGCACAAATGTGTTATTTTTGTCCTTTCCTGTTGGCTCTTTTAAATTACTTTTCTCTTCAGCTGGGCTCTTACATGACAGTATAAAATTTAAAACAATTGAATAAAGGACAAAAAATATAGATCCATCAGGAATTGAACTGATTTTTGCTGATTTTCTGTAAAAAGGAAAGAAAGAAAATATTGATATTTTATACGATGTATTTATTGGGTGCTGGAAGCCCATTTAGTGGTATACATAAGACATTGAAAGATTGTTCAGACAGAAGGAAAGCAAGCAGACTGACAACTTACTTTTCTAAATTCAACAAAATTACTGACTGCAACATCTTTTACTGTTGTGACCTGTGACCCCATGTCTCGTTTTCCCCTTTGTCTGTTCATAGATTGTTTACAAGCCTTCCAATAACAATCTTAAAACACTGACAACTGTCATGCTCTCCATTAATGATTGTTTTTGTTGCGGCGTCTCAGCTTATAAGCTGTTACTATATTGAATCTCTCTTTATTTTATTTTGTGTTTAGTGAGTATGGAAATTTTATCATGTTAATTAAACAACTACTGTATAAATGTCTACCTTTATGTGTCTTCAGGAGCTTATTCAGGCACAAGGCTTATTAATTTTGCTCTCCAGGTATTGCTTTGTGAATATATACAGTTCTTGTGTAATTCACTTAGATCTCTGTACATGTTGACCTTTTACCTCATTGAATTTCTCAGGTGTATTTTTATTATTGTATTTTGATATTATATTTTCTAGTGTTACTATTTTGCACAGTACAGCCGGTTGCATTTACTTCTGTTCTTCCACTTTTTAATTGTCAGTGTTGAGGTTGCATTGCTTGCCAGGTTGTGTAAAGAGGATACTCATCATGATCATGGAATGTGTGCTTCCTCAATGTGTCGGATACTGACATTTTGTCCCTCTGTTCTCATTATTTTAATTTTATGGTTACCATTGTAAGTGAAGAGTGCCTTTCCCTTAGTTTATTTTTCTGTGATATGTTGGAGTACGTTTTGTTCTCTCATTTTGTATGGAAAAGTCTCCACTTACAGTAACATTACGCCTAGAGCTTACTTAACTCTAAAGTAAAGAACCTACTGTGTTATGTTACAACTGCACTCAGCAGTGACAGTATAATACTATCTGCACATGATGGGTAGAGTTTTAAGAAGCTTAAGAATAAATTGTCTTACATTATTTTATTGTTTCTTCAAAAACTTACATAGTATCCAAGCTTTGTCTAGAAAGCCAAACTCCTAATTTAACAACATGAGAAGGAAAATAACTCCTATAGTTTTATTCTTTTGATGTCTTCGCTTCTAAAATCAGTTCTGCAAATAAAGGAAAGAAATGTTTCTTGTTGATCGATTTTACACACTCAACCCATAAATCATCTTAACTATGGATAGGAATCCATACACACCTGAGAGTCATGAAGTGCCGAACTTCAGCAGGGGTCAAGCGCCAAGCTATAGCACCTGGTTCATTGCTCCAGTAATCTGATATTTCAGATGCTCTTTCAAGATTCAGCACAGTAGCAATTTGGGTAAGACGAGCAAATTTATCTCTAATAGACCAAGACGTAGCATTGGTCAGATATCCAACCAAAACTCTCACCTCTTTATCCAAAACTAATCCTCCTAACTGAAATTAGATTCAAATGTATGCAACACAGAAGAACTACATAAGTTTAAGGTACACATTTTTTTTTTTTAACTGTACACTTACCCTGTTGAAGGATGACTTTGCAATAACTTTTTCCATTTGATGGGTGACCTCAGTTGCAAGGATACTAACCAGGGTATCATAATTTGTGGGAGTCAGACTTGATTTGAATGAAGAAAGGAGAGACTCCAAATTTGCTACAAGATTTCGGACGAATGGTTCGTTTGCCTCATAACTGGAGAATTCCTCCTAAAAAGTAGAATAAATTGAATGATGGGGGGTAAAGAATCCTTCCGTATAGTATAACTTATCTAATGAAGAAATCCTACCTCTGTAAGTACATGACTAACATTCAGAAAGGCATCGACCCAGGGACTGACTCTTGGTTTAATAGCACTAGCTGACAGCTGACTCATTCCATATTCAACAAGAGCACGAAGGGAAGCTGTAACTCCACCAAGCCCACTGAGACAGCTCTCTAGCTTAGCCCTATCCCTCTCGGTCATGCCTGGTAAAGCTGCAGCCATTTCATCTCCTAAGCTGAGACGAAGAGTAGCAATGTATTCTGTGCTAACGTCAGCATTATTTAGGTAGGCCTATAGAAGTAAAAAAATGTTAGATGCAAGTATATAAAAGAAAAGTCCATAAAAGACGAATTGATCCCCTCACCAAGAATGTCAGACGAGCTTTTTCTGAATCTGAAGCCTGTAGCCTGCCTTGCTGAATAGAACTCTGCAGGGCATTGTAGGCTTGAGTCAAGTCTAAATACCCTGACATATAACCATGGCGTAGTTGGGCACGTAAGACAGAACAATAGTCAGCCTCTAAAAGACTACATGCATTGTTCAAAACAGCACACACTCCATCCAAACTTGAGCTCGATATAGCTCGCCTGAAACATAAGATTAGAAATAAATCAGAGTTTTCAACATATACCTAAAAAGTAAATAGCTGCTTTAAATAATAATAATAATAATTAATGATTTACAAACCTTATACATTTCCTTACAATAAAGAAAACATCATCTACCATGCTTGAAGTCTGCTGGATTTGTAAGTTTTCTTCGAGTTGGTCAAGAGCAACAGCTTTTCGAACACTCTCTGCCATAAAGTAGTGCTCTAATTGCAGATAGTTCCCAAGTAATGCCTGCATTGAGTGACAGAGTCCTGAGGCACGGAGCATTGTCTCCAACTTATCCATGAGAAGCCCACGAGTTACCTCTGCAGATACTCCAACTTCCACATCATTCTAATAAAACAGATAATAATCCTTGGAAATAACATAAATATGTAACATAAGGGAGCAAAGAGAATCAAATTTTACCTGTACTCTTCGTCTAATAAAACGGACATACATTTCTGCACGAGCATGCATAATTGTTAATTCCCCCAGGAGAAGATCAAGATTTTTGGGATCAGTGCGACTTTGCTGGGATGTTGTAGCACCACTTGTATTAGCGCTACTTGAAGAGCTGTTTGCACTTCGTAGCCAATCTGCTACTTGAGCAAGAGCTGAATCTAACTGTCTATGTTTCCGGAATTCGTTTAAGATGAGTTTACTTTGACGATCACATTCTTCTTGAAGGGCATTTGCAACAGTCAACAACCGGCCTGGGCCTTCAATATAAAAATGATTAGACAAATTGTAAAAAAAGAGAATGCATGATTGATTCTGTCAGTTTGCCATACCCACTTACCATAATAACTTTCAATTAGAGGTTGATGAATTTCAATTATTCTAGCTATTCCTTCAAACAAAAGAGTTAATGTGTCAGCGTAAAGAACGCTGGCTCTTTTGTCAGCAGATCTTGTTTCTAGGGCTGCTCTTAAGTTCTTTTGTGCTGTTTCCTGAAGCTGGAGACAGATTTTTCACAATTTAGTACTTTACTTTCCAGATCGTCTAAATTCTGTTACAATATTCTTACCTTTGAGCACAAGAACACCGAAAATTTATTCAAACCCTGATCTTGTAACCCAAGCAAAGGGAATATTTTAAAGAATCTCTCAACAGATGCAAGGTCATCCGCCCGAACAGCCTCATCAAATCGTGCTGTGACTTCAGTTTGAAGAAGCTCAGCTGCTTTGTGGAGTAAGGAAAAAGAGTTCGTAACCGCCGTACAGTCTAAAAACAATTGAGAAAAATATTTTTTGTAATAAAACTATTTTGCTTTCTGCTTAACAAATCAGTGCTTTCACTCGTAGATGGGTTTACCTTGCTGAACATCATCAGCTGTCTGTCGTAAAAGTGTCTGATCCATGGACAGAAAGCGATGCACATGAGCAGCCCCTTTCTCATAGTCTTCCTCTTGCAAAGCGAGCTTGACTCCCTCACTACATAGTTGAAGGTCTAGAAGATCATGAACTCTTTGCTGACATTCCGAAACACGGCTCTGGAAAGAGATTAACTTAGTATTGTTGGTACAAACATCTGTGTGACGTCTTTCATGACTTCAACGTCAGATATTTACCCGTGCATCGTCCAATTTTCGGACTTTGGCGCTTACGTTCTCAGCTAAGTTCGATGTGTGGGCTATCATTTCTGAGAGATGTTGAGCATCCGACTTCACTATTTGAAGGTTAGGCAGTGCTTTGGTAACGCTTCGGAGTTTTGCTTCCAAATGACACTGTCTCGACAGTAGATTTTCAAGCTGTTTTGTAACATTTTCCTGAAACAGGAGCGATGAGCAACGTTTATGATTGTCAAAGAGGTGAGCAAATTACTTCAGGTGACATGTCTAAGTACCTCTTCGGCTACAATCTTTTCGCAAACTTTCTGAATGCCCCCGCTGTCACCCAGCTCTTGAGGGTTAAGCTTAATGGAAATCATGTTTTCTTTACGATTAGCTCATAATTACGGGACAAATGTTGTGTTCCAGACTGTTCGTTACAGGTGGGTCTTCTGCTACTGTTTATGTTTGAGGATTTGACAGCGCAGCAGACAGAAACAAAAACAAAAACAACAACAACAGCAAGCAGAAGTCGAGGTTCGATTTTCTTCTGCGCGCGAGTGCTCAAGCGCTCAAACACAATCGGAGTAGCATCGATCGCAACTTCTATCTTCTGTCTATCTTCTATCTATCTTCATCATCTACATTCGCGTATGTTTACGTGTTCTTGGCTCGTGGCAACCGATAGTCCAAGAAAAGTTGCCGTTTATGTTGTTTGCAAAAGCCCGGAGATGTTTGACGGCGTTCTTGTTACAAATTAAGTTGCTAAAATGATAATAAGGAAAGCTTGCGGTGGAATCTCGTCATTCTGTCGATTTTTTCGGTAAGCATATTGTGAGATTGAGGTTGGGGGAGTTTGTTTCTTTTTGTTCTTTTTAGTTTTGCACAATATGAACGTGCCTATTCCTTTCTCTAGTACAACGTCCTCTTCGTGGCGCGATGGCAGTGTACCCTCCCTCCCCGCTGGCTGCGGTGACTGCTGCCCGAGCACGCTCGTGGCGCAGGACAAGGAGGCCTGCCTCCTCGACCCGTGCGCCGTGGATCCAGAGCAGCCACAGCCAAGCGTGGTCATCGTGGGCGCGGGGGTGGCCGGCCTCTCGGCCGCGGAGCGCCTGGCTCACTGCGGGATATGCAACATCAGTGTCCTGGAGGCCACGGACAGGTACAGAGCGTGCGGCCGCGGCCACGGTGGCCATGACCTTTCCTGCATCCCGCCGTCGTGACCCACAGGCCCGGGGGCCGGGTGCATTCGTGCTGGCTGGGTGACTCGGTGGTGGAGCTGGGGGCGCAGTGGCTGTACGGCGCCAACCCCAGCAACTCGGTGTACTCTCTCGCGGCCCGCGAGGGCATCCTCTGCTGCCCGGAGGACGCCGATCACGAGCCCCCACTGTTCTGCACCAGCGACGGCCGCACCGTCGACCCGCCGCTGGTCAGGGCGGCACAGCACACCTTCAGCCTGATCGAGGCGCAGGCCAGGGCGCTGTTCGGTCTCAAGATCAGCCGGCGGCAGGGCGCGCTGCTCACCTTCCTGCACAGGTAGCAGACCCGAGTGGCGGGGTCGCCTACTGGTTCGCTGAAGTCGCACAATCGTGACGCACTCCTCCTGCCAGGCGCATGCAGCAGGAGGTGCTACGATACCCGGAGGAGGTCCGCTATGACGTGGCTGCTGTACTGCACGGCCTCGCCAACGGGCTGCGGTGCCACCTGGGAGCTGACCTGAGCGTCGTGAGCGCCGACCACTACGGCAGCGCCGTGCGGGCGGCCGGCGGTGACGCGCGCGTGCCAATGGGTTTCGTCGGCGTCCTCGCCCCGCTACTCAGGGAGCTGCCCGAGTGTTCGGTATGAGGGTCGTGGAAAGGTGTCGACCAAGTCGTTCGTCGACTCTGTCGGCGTTGAACGCCTCAACCTCCTCGACAGGTGCACTACTGCAAGGTGGTGGAGAACATCCAGTGGGGGCCCCGAGTCGCGGGCAGTACCGTGCGCGGCCCTCGCGCCACGGTGCGCACGGCCGACGGTGCCGAGTACCACGCCGACTACGTGATCGTGACGGTGCCGCTGGGCGTGCTGAAGGCGGCCGGCGACACGCTCTTCACGCCGCCGCTTCCCGCCGAGAAGACGGAGGCCATCCGTGGCCTGGGCTTCGGCGCCGTCACCAAGCTGTTCCTCGAGTACTCGCGCCCTTTCTGGCTACCGGGTAAGAGGGAAGCCCGTGCAATGCCGAGGTCCCCCCGCGCCTGCTGACGCCCAGGTCCTGCCCGCTCCAGGCAGCGGGACCAGCTCCCTGCAGCTGGCCTGGTCGCCGGACGAGCTCCAGGGCGGCGACGACTGGACCAAGGGCATCGGGCTCCTGGAGGAGGTGCCGGGCAGCCGGGCCGTGATGTGCGTGTGGGTGGCGGGCGAGGAGGCGCGCTGCGCGGAGCAGGAGTCGGACGACGCGGTGGCCGAGGCCGTGACGCGCACGCTCCGGCGCTTCACCGGCGACCCCTCGCTGCCCTACCCGGACTGCCTGCTGCGCTCGCGCTGGTCCAGCGACCCCTTCTTCCAGGTGAGCGACAGGTCGGCCCGCTCGACGCTCGTGCCGGGTGGGCAGTCTACCCCGCAGGCGTCGTCACGCTGCCGCGAGCCTCGGTTATTCGGTTGTCCTCCGCAGGGTGCCGTCAGCTACCTGGGCGTCGAGTCCAGCGTGGGCCAGCAGTGCGACCTGAGCGCCCCGCTGCCCTCGACGTGCGCAGAGACCCCGCGGCCCACACTGCTCTTCGCGGGGGAAGCCACGTGTCCGGGACACTTCGCCACGGTGCACGGGGCCCGCCTCAGCGGCCTGAGGGAGGCCGAGAGGGTCTTGGCCCTCACCAGGAGGCAGCACCAGCAGCAACAAAGCGTGGGCTGACATACCTGCGACATTGCTTCAGTTTTAGTTTCCACTGCAGTGCGCAATTGTCTCGACGTCCAGTGCTGCCATATGCGCACGGGACGCCGGACTCAGGCGCAAGCTTCTTAGCTAACCGAGTGATGTATGCGTACGCACGACTAGTCGTTGCTTCTATATATTTGTGTTATAGTAATTCAATGGGTTATGTCGGTTATACATAGAATGTCGTGCACTAGGAGTTTTAAAAACAAGGGCATATACATGGAATCGATTTTATTGGTATTTAGTAAACATGATTTAAAATGTGCTGAAACGATTCAATGGAAGCTCGTCGGAGCTTCAATGGCTCAATGTGCGAAATATACAAATATACAAAACATTCAAAATAATTCTTACAGGCATCCACGTAAATCTCCACAAAAACACTTGAAGTATAAAATTTGGGGGATAAATACAAGATTAAAATAAAGTAGGTCCAGTCTCAATTTAGGATGACATGCACAGCGCTGCACTATTCCTGGAGCTTGTAGATGCGGGTGCAGACGATGTTGTCGACCGTCAGGATCTGGAGTAAAATAGTGGAGTGTTAGTTTACAGGTGCTTCAGAGGAGGCAAAACAGCAGCGAGAAAAATCCATGCGACACGTACCATCTTAATCTCGTTGGCGGAGAACTCCCTCACGATCTTGGTGGTCTTGCCGCTGCCCTCCTGGTTCTCGACCAGAGTGTTGTCGCCCTCCAGGGTGATGGTGGCCTTGACCTTGCGGCCGTCGGGGGTCTCCTGGTCGAAGGGCTCACCCAGCTTGAAGCTGATGGTGGAGGTCTTGAAGGACGACGTGCTGGTCAGGGTGTACTTGTCGCCGTCGACGGTGAGGTGCACCACGGGGCTCACGGCGTTGCCGACCTGCCTGGTGACGAAGCTCACACCTGCAACAGCACAAGGGAAGGCATTGATGACTGGGTCAAGCATTGGAGGGCACGTCCCGTCGCGCACCGCGACACCCACGACAAGCCGTAAAGGGCCTCCATCGGCCTGGGGAGGGGCGCAGCCGGGCACGTACCCCGATAGCGAGGAGCCCCAAAACAAGCGGCACTCTGCAGATAAGGCCATTGTCGAGGTCAGGAAAGGCGCTGCTATCGGCGACACAGCCCACCGCAACACCCGACCCGCGCCCCGTACGGGGGTGATACACATGTACTTTGTGAAAGTACAGGGGAGAGCTATCCGAACCAGGCGTAGTGAATTCCTCCCCCAGATAACAGGCAAATGCGAGAGAAAATATTTATCCGAGGACCGAGGCGATAACGAGCTGGACTCCAACATTCCCGGCGCACCCAGAGAGACGGCGGCGCGTCGCTGTCGGGGCAAAGGTGCTAAGAAACTCTTTGCGTTTGGAGGGGCACCCGGTGCGGTGGGTCCACAAAAAACGTGCGCAGTACCCGACCCGCTCCAGAGGGGCTGGCCGCGTCCGAAGGGAGCGCGTCGTGCCGCCTCCGGACGCGGCCCCGCGGGTACACGAGCACCGTCGCGTCATGTTCCACGCAAAGGAAGAGAGAAACCCGACACGGCCGCGGCGGCGGGGATGGCTCGACACGAGCCGCGTCCGAAAAGGCGCACCCAGACCGCGCAGTTCCGCCGTGCCAATCTGACAGAAGGGCGCGGCCGCTCCTATACTCCGAACGCAGCACCGTGGCGCGTCTTTTGCCGACGGTAACACGATGCACAGCCAGCCGAGCCAGCCATGCCGCCAAATGAGCAAAACAAAACGTCCACAACCAAAGGGAAAGGGGGGAGGGGAGGGAAAATCGTAAAAGACAGTCAAAACCGAGTTCAACGGCGCGGAGCGCAGCCGCGCGAACTTGAATGGCAAAGAGCTCTGCATTGCCGCAGCTGCAGGAGCCGGCCGGCGTCCCCCTCCCCTCGCGGCCACACGCCACGCCGCGCCACGCCGCTCCTGCAGCATCACCTGAGCAGGCTCCCCAGGCTCGCGGCCCGCGCGGCCGACGCCCCGAACAAAAAGCCAACCGCTTGAGCCGCCGCGGACCGGGCCTTGTGCCGCAACGCGTCGAGAGGGCAGAGACGGCGCCATGACGGCACAGCCGCGCGGATTATGAAGGAGGTCCAAACTCCGCGGTATAGCCGGCGAGCACATGTGGTGCGAGAGAGCGCGGGGCGGCGGAGCGGAGCACGCATGCCGGCGCCCCACGCGAGGAGGCGGCGCGGCGCCGGTCTTCCAGAACGACCCGTCCACCGGACCACACGAAGGGCACGCGCCTAAGACTTTGACAGAGCGCCGGCGCACCTGCCGCGTTTGACGCCCAAAAGTCTTTTTAACGTCGACGCGGACCTGGCCAGCAATGCCTCCAGCTGATCAACCCCACGGGGAGGGGAGGACAGAAGTGGAGGGGGGGGGGGACGCGCCGCCGCGCCGGCCGGCCCAGCATCGATCCAAAGGGCAAGCCGAAATGATAAGGCTCCATACGGAGCGGCAAGGCACTACTACTGCGAGTGTTGCGAGAGGGGAAGTCGTGGGTATAGGTTTTTAGAGGTGCCGTGAGGAACGCCGGGAACTACATAGACGCTAAAACACACGCCCAGCGAGCCACTGACGCGAGCGTATGCCGGCCCGAGGGGCGCACCCATACCCATAGCACGGCGTCGACGACTCACCCAAGGCCTTCATGTAGTCGTCGAACTTCTCGCTGCTAGACAGCTTGAACTTCTTGTCGGCGAAAGCGGCGAGAGCCATGGCTGAAGGAAGGGGTTGGGTGACGGAAACTGGAGAGAAGAGCGAGAGCAACGACACGAGGTGTGCGGCCGGTGAGAAGTGGTCCGGTCTGCTCGGTGAGACGGGGGCGACGCAACTGGAATGGATTGAGATGGTGGGCCGGCGCGGCGGTGTGCAAGCGGCAAGGGATCAAAGGGGAAAGGGGGGGGGCGACGCCCGAGCGCGCCCCGAACGCCGGCCGAAGGCAGCCGAAGAGAGCGCGCCACCGCCGCAGTCGCCTCCGGTCAAGAGGGCGCCAGGCTACAAACCCCGTCGCGGAGCTGCGGGCGCGGACCCCTGCGTGGGCGTGGCGCGTCGGGGCGGGCGGGGTGACCGCTCCCGATCACTTATCGAGTGCGGGTCCCGCCGGGCCGTCGGGCCTATGTGAGCCGGACCTCGGACTTGAACCTAAGAGAGGTCCAGGTCCCGCAGCAGACGCAGCCCCCCTTGGTCGCCGAGCCCCGCCCTGTGCCGACCCAAGGCAAGGAATGACCGACCGGAATGACTCACGCACACTGACTCACAGACACTGGTGCCCCCAAGTTGGGGGCCCCAACACAAGCAGCACGATCAAGATGACGGAAGGTCTCCTTTTCCTTTTGCTCTGACATCACATACTGCGGTGGACGACTCGACTAGCCCATCCCCCATCAACTGCCCTGCCTAGTTTTCCCCCTTAAGTCGCCTTGCTACCTCGATGACACATCCTGAGTTTGGCTTTGTAAGCAGGCACGCAATCGGGCACAGCAACTCATATCAAAATATATGACCGAGTCGGGGGGGGGGGGGGGGGGGAAAAAAGGGGGGGGGGGGGGGGGGGGGGGGGGGGGGGGGTCGAATCACAGGGGTCGTACGGGCGGGTGACCCCCGCGCCCGCCCGGGAGACAACAGGGCGCGGACGGCTGCGGGTGGATCCTGTCGCTGAGACCGCGAAGGGGTGGAGCTTGCGGCGCGGCACGGCACGCCGCCCCGCCGCCCCCGCCGCCAGACACTCAGATAGCGGACCAGCGGACCCGAGGAGGGTGTCAAAGTCCGCGCGGCCACCACAACCTCCTCCACCTCCTCACCGCTCCCTTCAAGGCAGCCAGGAGGAAAGGCCAATCTGTGCCCTGTATACCCGGGCCCGGGCGGCGGCGCGACACGGCCTGATCGTGGACATCCGTCGCGCCGGCCACATCACGCCACGGCGGCAGACTCCTTGGCGTCCCCCCTCCCCCGCCCCCTCACCGTCGGAGTGATGATAACACGACTGTCTCCTGGGGGCGGGGGCATGACCAGGGGCACATTGGCCAATTATTGGTCACACAAGGGGGCGGTCTAATTGAATGAGCCCCCGTTCTCTGGACTCCCACTTTAAAGAGACGGAGAGAGAGGGGGAGGGGGGATAGAATGGATTGTTTCCACTGGAAGAAAATAAGTCCAAATAGGACTAAAATTTGTAAAATAAATGAAATGATAAAGACGCCTGTTTCAATT